CTCCCTCCCTCCCTCCCTCCCTCTCCCTCTCCCCTCTCTCTCTCCTCTCTCTCTGTCATTTCATCCTCACAGCAACCCTATGAGGTGGATCTCATTGCCCCCATTTTACAAATGAGGAAAGTGAGGCTCAGAACCTGTGCCTAAGGTCACATAGCCACTGAATATCAGTGAAGCTGGAGTTTGCACTCAGGTTATCAGTCTAACCAGGGACTGGCCTGATGATGTGAACACATGTCCAGATGGGTTGCTCTGGCTGGAGAGGAGGTTGTGGGGCAGATAGATATGAGGCATGAATGAAATAGAGAGGCTTAACTAGTTTAGGAAGGGCCTTGGACATGCACGTGGACACGCACACACACATACACAGGAGCTTGAGGTTAGTCCTGAAGATGCTGAGTTACCTCATCACAACACAACTCTGGGAGGACTCTCGCCAGTATTTTTCCAATAAGGGTCTCCAAGGTGGACCCTAGGAGAGGAAGGAGTGATTTGCTCAAGGTCATGAAGCCAGGATTCGAACCCAAGACTCCTAACTCCAAAGTTTGTGCTATTGCCATTGACATGAGAAGGGTCCCTGCAGCCAGAGAGAGATGGCTTCCACAGCAGCTTTGTCCTCTGGGCTGGTAGTGTGGGAGTCCTGGCCTCAGCCTTTGGGGCATTTAAGTACTGACTTGCTGTGCTCCTACTACTAGTTGCTGCCTCTATTCTGGCCTCTCCAAGCTGACGGGAGTCCCAGAGCCTGGCAGCTAATGGATTTGTGCTCGCTCTACCCCAGGTGTGACCCTCTCCAGACCCTTCAGCCTGCCCTGCCCCAACTCTGATGGAGCCCTGTCAACCTTCCCTGCCCCAGCCCAGCTGGCCCAAGCCGGCCTTTCTAGCTTGGGGCTCCAGCCATCCATCGCACACCTGGCTCCTGCCATCCCTGACTGCCCCCACTTCCTGTGCACACCAGGCTTGTCCCTGCCTAACCAGCCTTCTCAGGAATAGCCTGGCCCCATCCCAGACACTGGAAGGAGCACTGTCACCCACCCTCCATCTCCTTCTGGAAACAAGTTCTGTCCTGGAAGCTCCTGGTTCGGCATCCCTGTTGCATATATAATTACGATGAGAATGACAACTTAGATTTACTGACTCACTCAGTGTATCATATCAAGTCAGGAATTACGACATTTAATGGAACAGCATTCAACAGCACAGATGCTGTTGCGGCCCCACTTTACAGGTTGGAAAGGATGTCACAAACACACTAGGTGGTGACAGCTCCACTGGATACTAGACAGACCTCTGTGCATACCCTGTTCTCCCTTGTGATTCACCCGTTTGAGTTTCTGCCTCTTCAGCTACCTGCAAACTCTTCAAGGGCGGGAACCTTCTCCAAAGTTATTGCTGCATTGAGTTGAGTGGGAGCCAGAACGGCCCAGAGGTTTCAAACACGAGTTTTGGGAGTCACTCAGAGGCTCACCTGTTTTGTACTAGCTGTGTGAGCTTAGACAGGCTGTGCAGCCTTTCTGATCCTCAATTTCTCCTTCAAAAGTCTCACCTACTAGTGAGAATAAATTAGGTGATGAGATGCCCATGAAATTCAAACCTGAGCCATGCCCAGCCCCAGGCGCTCTGGTCCTGAGCCTCTGCAGCAGTCAGGGTCACAGTATCTTCCCTCTGGGTTGGTTCTGTCACTTGGGAGTTTGTCAGCAGGTTCCCGTTTCCTGTCTGATCTCTCAGCTGGGAGTAAACTTTCCTGTTTATTCTCCACTGACAATCTGTGTGGCTATGGGCCTTTGAGTCCCTTTCCTTGGACTCTGTTTCCTGTGCTGGCAATTATAAGGGCTGGACCAGATGGTCCCTCCACCCCTGCCTGCTCTTGCCATCCGGGAAGGCAGGGAGAGGCCACCTGGACACAGCATGGGGCGAGGACACGAAGAAGTGCCTCAGGAGCCTCGTATGGGACACAGGGACCACTCCATCTCCCAAGCACCCAGGCTGTGCTGCCAGGCTGTGCCCCAGGAGGCTAGGCGTTTCCTGCTGGGGCTTCATTCCCCCTTTCCAGCCCTGTGAGGAATTGCTACCCCATTTTGCAGATGAGGGACTATGGCACAGACAGGCAAGGTGATCTCCTAGGCTAATGGTCACATACCTAATGGGTGCATGGCACAGCTGGCCTCCTAAGGTCTGTCTGAGCGCAGCCTTTCAGGAGACCTGTGGGGTGGGGTGGGGGTGACAGCGCAGATGCTTGCCCTGTGGGTTGTAGGGTTCGGTTTTCCTAAGTTAGGTGACTCACCTGGGGAGCGCCGCCTTTGGGGGGCACTCTCCCCTCTCGCCCTTTCAGAGGGGAGCTCAGACCCAAACCAGCCTTTTCACTAGGCAGCTTCTTCCTATAAAAGCTACAGGCAGGGGCCAGGGATTTAGCTCAGTGGTTCCACTGCCTGCCTCAAAAGCAGAAGGACCCGAGTTCAATCCCTGGTAGCAAACAAAAAAAGCTGCAGGCAGGTCTGTGCTGGGACCCTGTCCTTGACCTTGGTACTAGCATGGCTCCTTCCCTCAGAGGCCCACAGCCTAGTGGGAGAGATCAGCAGGTAGCCTTGCAGCTAAAACAAAGTGTGCGCCATAGGGTGCAAAAACAGGGCCTTGAACGTGCAGAAGAGCACCTGACAACCGTGTGGGGAGTTGCGTGTACGGATTGGGGGCGGGCAGGGGTTGGCCGGAGTTCTAAGAGAGGAGTACGAGTCCTGCAGATGGAGGGGAAAGGTGTGTGTGAGTGTGCTGGACAGAGGACCCTGCATATGCAAAGGCCTGGGGGAAACCACCGCAAGGTGCTTCGTGCTGTCCCATAGAGCTTTCTGGAACATGGGAAGCTTTACATCTCCTCAGTGACACGGTAGCCACTAGTCCTGTGTGTCTGTTAAGCACTTGAAATGAGGCCAGTGTAATGAAGGAACTAAGTTTTCAAATTTATTTCATTCTAGTTCATTCCTAGTTAAGTAGCCGCACAGGGCTCCTGTCTACCTTGTGGGATAGTGCAGGTCTGGATGAAGAGGGAAGACTCGGGAAGGTTGGGGCTGGTGGTGAAGGCTTTGAATGCTGCCGAAGGCCTTGTGCCCTTCTTCCCAGGCTTGGTAGGATTCCTGCTGAGGAGCACAGGGGTTGAGAGAGCAGCATCAACAAATGTGTTACCCTGTTGTGTGGAGCTCTTGGGGCAGCAGGGAAAGTTCAGAGGTGGGGAGCTGGGCAGGGAGAACCTGGGACCCCAGTTCCAAAAAAAAGCAATAAAAAGGGAACCAGGACTGTCAATGTGGAGAGGAGGGAACAGATTCCAGAGCAAAGCTGGTGACCAGTGGGACTGGTTTGGGGATGGCAGCTTTGTCATGCACGACTCCCAGGTTTCTGGCTGGGATGGTGTGGGCATGTGCCCTTCACCGAGGTGGGTACATCTCTCCTCAGTGAGAAGGGGCAGGTCTGGCGGGGGAGGGGGGCTGACAGCATCCCAACATTCACTGGTCTGTCTATGTCACTATCTGACTCCCCAGCTTGGGCATCTCTCTTCCCTCTCCCCATCCTTAACATAGCACCAGCGGGGCCCGAGGAGGCCTGGGCACATACCTGGCTGTGGAATGAGTGAATGTGCATTCTGTTGCTAGGTTCAGGAGGAAGGGGCAGGCCAGCTCTCTGTCTGTGTTCCGAACTCCAGCATCAGGGAAGAATTTGTCCACGTCCCTTGGGGGCCTGAACAATGTGAGGAACGTGGCCTCTGTGACTGTTTCTCAGAAATGCTGCAGAGCTGCTTTGGAGGCAGTGTTGTACAGGGTCCTATGGGGACCACCAAGAGGGAGAGATATAGCACTTGGCCCACCTCCTCAGACATCTCCACCTCAAGCAGATGATGTCCTTAGCTGCACAGACCCAAGGCCATCAAAGTGGTCATTCTGTACTCAGGCCATTAAGGTTGTCAGAACTCAGACACACAGGTCTCCACTGGGAATGACTTTCAGCTGTTAGTACTGAAGCACTCCTGAATTCCATGGGGTGTATTTCTCACCCCTCTAAAACAGGCCTACAGGAAAAGACTCCAGGTAATGGTGCACTAGAGCCACTATGTCGGCTTCTGAGAGCTCAGCATGTGCGTCTCTTCCCAATTCTGTGTCCAGCGACCTCCTGTAGATGATAATCCACTTTGGTGGGAGCATTTACACCACAGAAATTGGCAAACACTGTTGGGGATCTCTCTCTCCCCCCTCTTTTTCCCTCTCTCTCTCTCTTCTTCTCTCCCTCCCTCCCTTTCCCTTTCCTTCTCTCCTTCCTTCCCTTTTTCCCTCTCTCCCTCTCTCCACCTCCCTCCCTCTCCCTCTCTTCTTTGTCTTCTTTTCCTCCAGAGAACCCACTTCCTACACATCACTGTGTCTAGTGATGGTATAGCTGCCCCACAGTCCTTAGGAACCCAGATTCTTTCTTCTTTCTACTCCTCTGGTTTGACTTTATGGACTCCATCTTTATAGTTACCTCATGGCCTGAGATGGCTGCTGGAATTCCAGCCTTTGTGTCTGTCCAAGCTCTCTCCTCTCATAAAACATGCAGCTCCCATTTTTCTGTCTTACCTATTTTCATGGCTGGCTCCTCCTTATCCTCCGGCTGTCATCTTTCATGTTACCTCTTCCAAGAAACCTTCCTGACTACCCTATGTAAAGTTGTCCTCTCATTCCACATTGTTTGATTTTTTTTTCTACAGCAGAGAGCATATTGGTAATCATCTGACACTCTGATTTTTTTTCTTATTTATTACCTATCTTCTACACTAACCTGAGGTAAGATCCCTGTTGGATTGTCTATGTTGTTCTCTGCCATAACCTCAGTACTTCAACAGTGCCTGGTACACAGTAGTTGGTCAATAAATATTTATTAAATGAATAAGCAATAGTTAGCAAAGACAATTTCATTTTCTGCGTTCTTCCCTCAGCATGTCATCGTGACCATTTGCCCATGTTGCCAGACTGTAAAATTAGCTGAACCAGATGTTTGCTAAGGATCCTCCCTGCTTTGCTAAGACAAATGAGTGGGAGGAAGAGAAATATAAACTGGTAAATCAGCTTCCCTGGGACCACTCAGCCCAAGCTGGCTGGGGACCTCAAGCCCTGCTCAGAGGCTGTTTCCATGGCAATTCATTCACCCGGCAAGCTTTCTGGAGCCCCAGCGCAGTGCTAGATAACTGCTGAGTACAGGACCTAAAGAGAGGGAGAAGTAGGGACCCATCCTGGAGGACTCAGGTGCTAATTTAGGGAGGGAAGAGGGACAGGAGGACAGCTGGCTAGGATACAATGGCTGCAGCTCAGTAAGTGCAGACAGCTGGACCCTGTGCTGGGGAACACCCACCACATCCCATTCATTTCTTTGGCGAATAATGAATGAGGCCCTGCCATATGTTATGCACCATTTTGGGCACTGGGGAAACAGCAGGGAACAAGCCAGATGAGATTCCTGCGTACGTGAAGCTCGAAGTCCGGTGAGTAGGATGAGCAGTAAACCCACAGACAACGGAACGCTTAGGGTCATCTCAGACTGGGAGGTGCTGTGAAGACCATGACACTGAGTATGTGACGGAGGTGACCATGGGACAGTCAGACAAGGCTCTGAGGAGGTGGCATCTGAGTTCAACAAAGGAGTCCCCAGGAGACAGTCTGACAGAAGAAGGCAACAGCCAGAGAAACAAGCAAGTGCAAAGTCCTAAGGTTAGACAAGCTCAGGGTGATGGAAGAACAGGAGTGAGAAGAGAAGGCAGTGGAAACAGAAGTGGGACCGGGGGAAAGGGAGGGAGGCACAGGATTGAAGCAGGTACCAAAAAACAGTTAATATAAATATTTAATATACTAGTTCCTCAATCAAAAATAATGCAGATAAATCCATAAGGAACAAAATAGCAAAAGGCCAGCATTACTAGCAGTGCCCTGTGAAGCCATATTGGAACCTGAGACAAAGGAAAAATCAGTGATACAGATCCTGTTTTTACTTTGAATGGCGTTTTCTTGTGTGTTGTGGGTTTGTTGTTGTTGATCATAACAGGTGTCATCGATGTAAAACAAAACGTGGTACCTGACTTCAAGATCATGGCTTCCAAGCTGGGTCGGGTAGGGAGCATAAGGCGAGAGAATCGAAAGTTGGATCCCAGCCTGGGCAACTTAGTGACTAGGAGAGACCCTGTCTCAAAATTTTCAAAAAGGTGCTGTGGGGGTGGGTGCCCCAGGTTCAGTTTCTAGTAGGGGAAGGGGATATCATGGTTTCCAGTACCAGATGTCTGTGTTCCCATTCTGCTTTACACTTACATGCTTGGCTCTGGTCTGAAGCCAGTTTGTTTGTATGTTTGCTTTGTTTTTTACCTCTCTGTGCCTTTTTCCCATCAGAAAATGGAGGTAATCATAGAGCCTACCTCAGAGCTGCTGAGAGGCTCCAATGAATTAGAACAAGCAAAAGGTTGAGAGCAGTGTTGAGCCCTCAGCAAGCACTTAGAACATGGGCAGTTCCTCGGTAGCTTAGTGGGCGCTCATTCAGCCTTGGTTTCTGTCAAAGGTCTGAGCACAGAACCAGTGCTCAGCAGGGGCAGGATGGGGATCGTGTGGAGGTGGAAGTTGTCCCGAGTCAAGGAGACCAGCGGCTCCCAGGACAGCCAGAGACAAGGCTGTGGCAAATATCCAGATGAAAGAGGGGGATAGATTCTGGGGATATTTAGGAGACAGGCTCTACAGGTCTTGATGATTGAACTGTGACTGGAGGAGCATCTTGGGTCTGACCAAGAACGGATGAGGTCAGGATAACATGGGGTGAGGGGCTCTCCATCACCATGGAAAGCCCACATCCCCACACCTCGCCTCTGTGTGTTCCAGAGGGAGCTGAAGGAGCAGCTTCAGGCCCTTCAGGACAGTGAGCGGGAGCACACGGAGGCACTGCAGCTGCTCAAGAGACAGCTTTCGGAGACTAAGGTGAGCCTGGCCGGGCTTGGGGGCGGGACCAGTATAGATGGATGAGGACTTGGGGGGTCCTGGCTTCTAGTGCTAACAGGGCAAGGATTTGGGCTGGTGTCCGGATTAGGGATAGGGCCACTTCTCCCTTGCCACTTTGGGTGGAAGTTGATGTGAGACCAGGGATCCCCAGGAACCTCCAGTGTCCTGAAGGGCTGGGAGAATTTACCCCTTATTAAACACACCCATAAGGAGCCAACCCTGAGCACGTCCCCAGCCACTGACTGACTGTACTCTTCTGGGTCCCACTCTTTGCATCTACACAGTAGGGCCTCTACAAGGCTCAATTCAGAGCTTCAGAGCTGGAAAAAGCCTGCTGGCAGAGTGCCCCCTCAACTCTCCTCCTCAGACTCGCCTCCTCCTCAGGCACTCAGCAGAGTGACATCTAGGGTCTTTCAGGCTGACTCTGCTCCCATAGCAGGAGAGCTGCGCAGCTGGAGCGAGCCTTGGGAACACCTGGACCTCTGGAGGTCATCCTGGGGCCTGGAGAGGCCATTAGAAACCTAGCTCCGTGCCCCAGTATGGCCATCAGTCCCCTGAGGAGTCCCAGAAAGGGCATGGTGCACTTTCTTCAGAGGACTTTCCAGAGTGTCTCTGGGCAGGACCCTCAGTAGAAACAATCACAGCACTATGGTCTCATTGCTTCACACAGCCTCAGTTTTCCCACGTGTCTGGTGACTCTGTACCTCTCCAGTGCTCAGAAGCAAACGGAAGCTTCTCTCTGGATGAGCGGGAATCTGAGGGTCTGTTTCTCCCTCTCTAGCAGCATTCTTGTCTCTTCTCCCCCCACCATTGTTTTTCTCCACTGACCTCTTCCCCTGATTTCCTGTCCATCTGTCTGCCTCTGGGGGGTCCTGCAGGGCTCCCTCCAGTCCCCCAGCCTGCTTCCTGTCTGCACTGGGGTATTTATACAAGAAATGCCTATGGAGCCTTTGAGGTCATATTTCACCTGGAGCCTGACTCACTTTCTTGTGGAGCCTGTCCCTCCAATGGCCTGGCCTGGGGGTCTGTCTGATCTCCCTCCTCAGGCCTTGTGTTTTCCTTGGTTGGCCCTAGGGGTGACACATTATTGGCAGGGTGCAGCCTCTTCAAGCCCTGTGTGTTCCAGGGAACGTGGTGGGCTGGGCTGAAGGCTGCTTTTCCAGCCAAGGCAACAAAAGGAGGGTGAGGCCAATAAAAGAATTTAATAAAGTGAAAAAAAAACCCAAAAAACAAAAAAGAGGGTGAGGGGGAAAGGGTGGCTCTGCCTGCCAAAGCACTAAAGTAACTGAGGTGTTCCTGTGGAGTTGAACCTTTCCTTTTGCTGAGAATTGTGTTTCCCCTTTGTTGTTTCACTGAAGCCACTGAATGTCATCTCCACGACAGCAAGACGCAAAACCTAGCAGAGTCAGACATACACTAAGTAGTTATGGGGCAAATCAGAGAAAAGGAAAATAAAGGAGTAGGAGCAGTTGTTAACCCACTTTTATCAGCAAGGAAACTGAAACACAGAGAGGTTGAGGTATCAGCCTGAAGCCCCACAGCTAGTAAGTGGAAATTGGGAGCGTCTCATCCAGTTTTTCCAGAGCCCAGTGCATTTTCCAACCTCGCACCGGGTGTCCTCTGTCAGTTGTATGGCTTTGTGGCCAGCAAACTGGATGGAGAGCCCATCAGGGACATGCGCAGGGGTCCCGGGATGGCTGTTACTCTGATGTGCCACTGTGAGCTGCTTTCTCCCTGCCTCCGCCCTCTTTCTCTACCCATCTTCTCTTGTCCTGGGGACACTTGACTCCCCAGCCTAGAAAGAGCCTGTGCTCAGCTTTG